AGTCACAAACCAAAGTTACAATAATACTAGCCTTTACGCTGATAATTTTTTTTTATTTGACTGTTTTACTCTCTTAAATCATGTAGGGAAAAAATGCATTTATGAGCCTTTGCTGCAGTAGCACTTGGCTTTTCTAATTGCCCATGTGTTCACCTTTATTAAGATTTTTATTTCTCTGTACAGCTTCACCTGCAGACCCCCTTGAGCACATCTTACAGAGGAAGGCTAGCGGTCGTGAACACCCTCGGCTTTTGTTTATTTGGCAATGTCCCGATTTCTCCTTCGTTCTTGAAGGACGGCTTTGTCGGGTATAGGATTCTTGGTTGATAGTTTTTTTTTCTTTTAGCCCTTTGAATACATCAGCCCACTGCTGTCCTCAACGTTTCTGGTAAGAAACCTGCAAATAATCTTATAGAGAGGATTGTAACAGTTCACTTCTCCCAACGTTCTCTCTTTGGCTTTTGAAAATTTGAGTATAATTTGTCTCACTGCAAATCTCTGTGTTCATCTTTCTTTGAGTTCATTGAACTTCTTGGATGTTTATATTCATATCTTTCATCAAATTCAGGAAGTTTGCAGTCATTCCAAAATTGTCTCTGCCCCTTCCTCTGTCTTCTCTTTTTGGGACTCCCCTAGTACATATGTTGGTCTGCTTAATGGTTTCACTTAGGCTTTGTTCACTTTTCTTTGGACCTTTTTTCTTCCTCCCCCTGTTCCTGAGACTCAGTAATTTCCATTGTCCTATCTTCAGGTTCATTGATTCTTTTTCCAGCCTGATCCAGTCTGCCTTTGAATCCCTTTAATGAATTTTTAAATTTCAGTTATTACAGTTATCAACTTTAAGAAGAATTTATTTTGGTATCTTTAGGTTTTCTTTTCTGGTATTTTTATTTGTTCACACATTGTGTTCTTGACTATTTCCATCTCTCTTTAAGTTTTCTGTTTTTTTTTAAGATTTTATTTATTTATTTGACAGATCACAAGCAGGCAGAGAGGCAGGCAGAGAGAGAGGAGGAAGCAGGCTCCCCGCTGAGCAGAGAGCCCGATGCGGGGCTCGATCCCAGGACCCTGAGATCATGACCTAAGCCAAAGGCAGAGGTTTAACCCACTGATCCACCCAGGCGCCCCACCATCTCTCTTTAATTCTTTGAGCATTTCTAAGATCGTTCTCTCCAAGTATTTGTCTAGTGTACCTGCCCTTGCGTCTTTTTCAGGGAAGGTTTCTGTTGATTTGTTTATTTCGTTTGAATAGGCCATACTTTCCTGTCTCTGTGTATGCCTTACGAGTATTTCTTAAACACTGGAAATTTGAATTTAATAATGTGATAACTCTGGGGGCCCCTTGGGTGGCTCAGTCAGTTAAGTGTCTGACTCTTGGTTCTGGCTCAAGTCATGATCTCAGGGTCCTGAGATCAAGTCCCATGTCAGGCTCAGTGTGAAGTCTGAGATTCTCTCCCTCCCTCTGTTCCTGTGCACTCGCTCTCATGAATGAATAAATAAATAAAATAATGTGATAACTCTGAAAGTCAGATGCTCTCCCTTCCCCAAGCATCTGTTTTTGGGAGGTTGTTACTTATTTTGGGTTTGGTGGTGTTGTGTTTTTTGGATTTGTTTTTGTTTTTACTTTTTATGCTATCTCTGTGCCTAGGATCAGCCTGAGGTGTCCACTTACAGTCTCGGGTCTTTTCTGAGCCTTTCCCCAGGAACACATGGGTCACTTTCTAATTGTACCCATATATGTAGTTGTTTCTTTATACATCCTACTCTTTAATGTCTAGCTCTCAAAAGGGAAGAAAGCAAAAAATGATGGGGAGAGGGTGCCAGTCTTTTCAATCCCCCGGAAGTCGTTTCAGCTTGAGGGGGAGGGGCTTGCAGCAGTGGCTGCCCTCCTGTGTTTGCACCTCCGTGATCAGAAGCGATCAGCAGTCAGAGCAGGGCTCCCTCCTGATACCTGGAAGACAGGGTTCTCTCTGCCCGCCCTCCCCCTGCCGCTCCCACAAGCTGTGTGCAAGCTGCTCCGAGATCGTGTGCACAGCTGCCTGCCACTTGGCCGGGAGTGGGAGATGGATAGCTGCCGCTGTGCTCCTAGGAGTTGACATTGACCAAAATTAGCTGCCGTTTACCACCCAAGTCTTCCCCCGGAAGCTGCACGCCTACAACAGACTCCAGAGTTCCAGAATAGTTGTATCAGACAGATTCAGCCAATGCAGTTGTTGTCCTGGAGGGAGAGAGAGATTCCTGGTGCTGCCTACTCCCCCATCTTCCCAGAATCCCAAAGTTTCCATTTCTAACAAGTTCCAGGGTGATGCTGATGTTGCGGATCCAAGGCTTACACTGTAGCCACTGAACCCAATTCTTGAATGTCCTTTCCCCAAGGCCCGAATATACCAGACAGGGTCCTCCTCCTCTGGACGTGGTGTAGCGGGTTAGTTGTGCTTTTTACCTGCAAGGAGCGAGCGCCATTTTATTGATGTGATTTCTTGGTGAGGGTGAGTTTGTTTCCATTTTGCAAACGATGGGCACTGTGGTCTGTGGGCTGGTTCAGGGCCGGGAGCAGTGAGAGGCCCTGCAGGGGACAGAGACCTGTGCTGAGCTGAGGTAGGAAGGGGATGGACCTTGCTCAGCCCAGAGCTTGGTTGTTTCTCCCTCCTGTCCAGGAACTCGGGCGGTGACCAGGCCGGCTCTGCAGGCTGCTCACCCGTACTCTGGGTCACCCACATTTACCGATGCTTTTGATCCAGACGCTGTCTTCAGCCTGGATGCACACGCTAACCCTCCCAGCTCTGTGGGGTGGATAGTACCGTTCGGTAGGTTCGTGTTTGCGGTTTAAGGAAGCGGAGGTTAGGAATCGGCCAGGAGCACATAGAGGCGGCAGTGAGAGCATTTGCCGGCGGGTTGCTCAGGTTCCACAGCCTGCACACGTGACCTTCTGCGGCCGTGCTTCGGATATTAGTCCCTTCCAGTATCAGTGATGACTGTACGTTACAGAATTTAAAAGTGACTTTTTTTTTTAAGTGTCATCTTTAGCAGTCTGGAGATGGGATGGTTCTGGACCTGGTTAATATGAGTCGTCAGCAGCGTCACAGAGGGTCCAGGTTCCCTCTGTCCTGTCGCTCTGCTGTCCTCAACAGCTTGGGCTTTGTCTTAAGAGCTGTCCCTTCGTGGTGATAACGGGATTTCAACAGATCTCTTCATCCCACTAACCGGCGGAGTGAGCAACCTTTTCCTGCCTCTTATCCCGGTTTAAGAGAGGTGAAACTTTCCCAGAAGTTCCTTAACCTGCGGCTTCCCTACCAGGAACGCTTGCTACACCCATTCGTAAATGGCCACCACTGACTGGAGTTCACCCCCTGTCCCTCGGGGCGGGGAGGGCCTGGAGCAGAAGTGTGGGGAGCTGATCCGACTTCTTCAGTCAGAAGGGCCTCCAGCGGAAACTGCTGCGGGGGGCGCAGCTGACGGATGAGCCACAGTCGTCCCCTCCAGTTAGCAGGGAGACCTCGCTTCTGAATGTCCTCTGTGGAACTGACGGGTACAGTCGAGGGCTGTTCAGAATGCTGCCCGCGGTCCTTGGTTTACTCCAGCCACGGAGTAACCTTTTGTTTCCGGGCGAAGTAAACGTTTCCGGATCCTCAGCACCCAGGATGTTGGTCTTCTGAGAGGAAGGCAGAGCTCATGGAGGACATGGCTTACGGCCCTCTTCCTGCCCCCTTGTCTTTGGAGGATGCCGGGGCTGGTCATTTTGGATCGGCTCTGACCTGGAGCAAGAAATTCCGCTCCGGGTGCCTCGGGCACCTCATCTGTGGAAGGGGGAAGCTTCCAGGACTGAATGACTGGGTTTATGCCTCTGGCACACGGCGACACGCGTGGCATGGCGAGGCCCCGAGGCGGTGCCGTGGCTGGCACTGGTGTGGGTTTAGCGTCGATCTGCGTTAGGGAAACTTGGTCCGGGTGAGCTTTACTCCCACTGGAGCCACACTGACTCCTGGGCCCCCAGCTGGGCTCTGCCTTCGCATGAGAAAAGGGGGAGAAGGGCACCCTTTGGGCTTATTGCCCCCGGGAGGGTGCCGGCCCCTGTGGGGAGGCATTCTCCACAAGCACGACGGCTGAGGGAGCATTTTCGTGTTTTTTTTCCTAGAATCAGGAGCAAGCGTCTGTATCACTCAGGTGGCCTCATCTGGGTGTGCCTCGGCCACCAGAAGAATTTGCAGCCTCCCTCAGTGGGGCCGATTTGGCTGAATTTAACAAATAATGATTATTGTTGCTAGGTCACATTTCATATGCCGACAGGACTGAGCGATCACAGGGATGATAGAGATGTGCCCCACTTTAAGAAAACCTGCCCATATAAGGAGGAACATCTCAATTACGGAATAATGTCTCACTTAGCCAGAAATTTGTGGCAGGTTTCCTAGTGCATTTAAAATAGGATTTGTGTATAAAAATATCATTTGCACACAGGAGCCCATCTTTTCTGAAGAGAGAAATATACTTGTATTGGGCATTTGGGATAAGTAGAATAAAAATAAAATCTTACAAATACAAGAACTAGAAACCAAATTCCACTTTTAATTCTAAAAGCTTTATATATAACTCTACTATCTTACCCTCTCCTCCCACCCCAGACTTCCACAGCAGAAATAAATAGGCAAGATCTGGCATTTTAAGAAGCAGGAGGAATGAGGAAAGGACGGGCAAGCATGTGTGTGGGCGGGCGGACAACAGGAGCACCAGGGACCAGTCTGGGTGCCCCACCCCACCCCATTGCCTTGTTCTGTTTGATCTATTTGTGGCCATTTACGAGGCCTGGCCTAGCACGTCTCTGCTGGATCCTTTCCATGGTGAGGTCAGTGAGTGGCGGTTAGCAACTGACCGGCCCAGCCTCCCACTGCCGACCTGTAACCACAGAGACGAGCTGGGGTGTGACAGACGGGGCTTAGGGAGGGCCTGGAGGAGAGGGGTGAATTCTGGGATGCTGACATGCCGCACTTCTTTCTTTTCAGAAATGTTCCCACTGCCAGGAGGCAGGTGCCACCTTGGGCTGTTACAACAAAGGCTGTTCCTTCCGATACCACTACCCATGTGCCATTGACGCAGGTAAGATGAGACCACGGCCCTTGTCCTGAGCGTTCAAAGGCTGGGACGGTCACTTTGACTCTCTCTGCCTTCTTTCCTTATCATTCTTTTGTGTCTCTTCTGACCCCGTTCTGTTTGTGGATTCTACAGGAATGCAGAGAGGATAATAAAAAAGGAGTGAAACAGGGTCCTAATAACAGTTTTATTTGTGTAATTCACACGTGATTCACTCTTTAGGTGTACAGTCCAGTGGGTTTGAGTTAGTACACTCAGAGTCGTGCACCCGTCATCACAGTCAATTTTAGGACATTTTCGTCACCTCGTAAATTCCTACCCATTAGTGGCCACTCCCCCTCCACCCACCCTAGCCTCTGGTGACCATGGACTTACTTCATATCTTGATGGATTTGCCTGTTCCGGGCACTTCGCACTTTGCAGTGCGATCGCACAGTAGGTGTTCCTTAGGACGCCGGCATCTGTGGCTTCACGTCGCGCTTTACCAGGTTCGTCCATGTTGCAGCAGACATCAGGCTTCATTTTTATTGCCCACCAGTGTCTCGGACACGTCATATGGTACGGACCGCTCATCAGTCCATGCACGTTGAGATTGTTTTCCACTTTTTGATTATTATGAATAATGCTGCAGTGCACACTCACAGGTCTTTCTGTAGATGTAATGTTTTCACTTCCTTTGGGTTTAAACCTGGGAGTGGAATTACTGGGTCGTATGGTAACTCTGTGGCAGGACGGTCAGACTTTCGCCACGTGGCTAAGTCCTTTCCCGTCCTTCCAGCAGTGTAGGAGGGCTTCGGTCTCTCCACATCCCCACCACGCTTGCCGTTACCTGCCTCTTGTGTCCCCGCCATCCCAGCATCTCGTTGTGATTGGAGCATTTCCCTGGTGGCTGATGACGGCTGGCGTCTGCGTGAAGTTCAGTTTATCTATTTTTTTCTTTTGTTGTTTTTGCTTTTCATGACCTGTTCCTTTCTCTTACGTCTAAGAAGTTGTTGCCTAATCCAGAAAATCACAAAGATTTATGCCTGTGTTTTCTCCTCTCAGAATTTGTCTCTTACATGGGTCTTTAATCCAGTTTGAGTTAATTTTTATATATGGTATGAAATAGGACTCCAGTTCACTCTTTTTTTTTTTTTTTTTAAAGACTTTATTTGACAGAGACAGAGAGAGCGGAAGCAAGGGGAAGCAGCAGGCAGAGGGAAAGGGAGGAGCAGGCTTCCCGCTGAGCAGGGAGCCTGATGTGGGACGCAATCCCAGGATGCTGGGATCATGACCTGAGCTGAAGGCAGACACTTAACCCGCTGAGCCTCCCAGGCACCCACTTCACTCTTTTGTATGTGGATTCCAGTGTCTTAGCGCCATTTGTCGAAAAGATTACTTTTTCCTCATTGAATGATCTCGGCACCTTTGTCGAAAACCAGTGGACCAGAGATGTGTGGGCTTATTTCTGAACTTTGTCCAGCCCCACACTGTCTTGATTACTGGAACTCTGTAGTAGATTCTGAAATTGGAAAGTATGAGTATTCTGAATATTCCTTTTGTCAAGATTGTTTTGGCTGTTCTGGGTCCTTGGCTACTTCATACGAATTTTAAGATCAGCTGGTCTATTTCTATTTAAAAAAAAACAAAAAACAAAAACAGCCATTAAAACTCCAGCGCTTGCACTGAATCTGCAAGTGCGGCTGGGCAGTCTTACCATCGTTTTAACAACAGTCTTCCAGCCCATGGCCAGGCAGCGTCTCTGCCTTTGTCTCATTCTGGAATTTCGATCAACAGTGTTTCGTAGTTTTCAGAGTGTAAGTTTTGCGCCTGTTCATTAAATTTATTCTGAAGTATTTTATTATTTTTAGTGTGATTGTAAATGCGGTTGTTTTCCTAATTTAGTTTTCAGATGGTTCGTTGTGAACATATAGAAAAGCAATGGATTTCGTGTATTGATCTTGTATCCTGCAGCTTTGCTCAGCTCATTGATTAGTTCTAATAGTTTTTTAATGGATTTCTATGTACGAGATATGTCATCTGCAAATGGGTTGTTTCACTTCTTTTCCAGTTAGATGCCTTTTATTTCTTTTTCTTGCCTAATTGTCTTGGCTAGAACTTCTAACGTAATGCTGGGTAGCAGCGGCGAGAGCTGACATCCTTGCCTTGTTTCTGACCCAGTAAGTGTGACGATAGCCGGGGGGGGGGTTCACAGATGTTCTTGATGCAGCCGAGGAAGTTCCCTGTCTTCCTGGTTTGTTGAGTGTTTTTCTCTCTCAACCACGGCTTTTGCATCTGACCATCTTTTCCATGTCTGTTGAGATGGTCAGAGTAGTGTTTCGCAGTACCATGACTTGAAAGAAGGGGAAACTCTTGTCCATGAAGTTCCATCCAGTGAATGAATGATGCGGAACCCTTAAATTTTGACTTTGAGCTTTAGCCTGAGAAAGTCCTCTCTCTCCATCTAGAGTCTTACCCTTTCAGTGGACGTTTTCACCAGTTACTTTCTGAGCACATGTCTCCCCTCACCGGCCCTCCTAGTACTTTCATTCAGAAAGGAGGGGAAGAAGGATAGGGAACATCAGCGAGGGTCCAGCCAGTGGCAGGTGCCGGTTATCTCTAAGTGCTTGAGAGGGAGGAGGCGAGGGCTTGGCCGTCCAGGTGTGGGAAGCAGGTACAGCGGTGTAAGCTCAGAGTCGGATCTGACAGGTGTGGGGAGGGGAGTCCGAGTTCATCTGGACCACCCTTCCTTCCTGGGAAGTTATTTGAGCTACATGCCTCTGGTCCTTCTTGTTTCTCCTTTCCCTCCCTTTCTTTTTGTCTTTCCAAGTTTCCATAGGAGGCACAGGTGAAGAACTAGAAAAATACAGAAAGATAACGCTTATTACGCCACAGTTCGATTCTCACAAAAGTGTGTGTTTGCACTTGCTGAAGGGTGGCCGGTGGCCAGGGCACTGTATGGCCAGAGAGAGTAAGAAGAGAGCCTTGAAATGTCAGTTCAGGGAGTTTGGGTTTTAGTCTGTCCCTTTCCGTTCTCTTTCTTCCCCAACATGTTTCTGTGCTGCGTCTGAGCTGTAATTCACCCTGAGTCGTGGTCTGGCACATTCCATCATACAGTCGCTCTGTCCTCTCTCTCACGCTCTCTTCCTCACTCTCAACAGCCAGCCGTTGCCATTTCTCTTTTTCATGGCATTGCCCCTGAATTCTTTTTTCTAGTTTAAGCTTCATGATTTTTTTTTAAGATTTTATTTATTTACTTGATAGACAGAGATCACAAGTAAGCAGGGAAGCAGGCAGAGGGTGGGGGGAAGCAGGCTCCCTGCTGATCAGAGAGCCCGACGCAGGGCTCCATCCGAGGACTCTGGGATCATGACCTGAGCCAAAGGCAGAGGCTTTAACCCACTGAGCCACCCAGGCGCCCCTAAGCTTCATGATTTTTAAATGAAGATGTTTAAGTATTAAGTTTGTAGCAGTTATTTATAGTTTTATGCAAGGCTTGGCTCTCTCTGTCAGCGCCTGATAAGAGGTGGTCTGCACTGGGGCTTTGCTCAGAAACATCCGGTGAGCTGCAAGCAGGTAACCTCGTCTCGTCCGCTGCCCCCTACCCCCGTGTGAGTGCACCCCTGTCTGCATAATGGGGCACCAGCCAATTTAGGAACCAGGCTCCTGGCAGTTTCTTGAGGGATTCAGCAGTGCTGCTCAGGAGGAGCCTCTGCCGTGACAGGAGTGTTCAGGGTCTGCGCTCTCCAGCACAGTCGCCACAAGCCTTGTGCACCACTGAGTGCTTCAAGTGTGGCTCTTTGGGAACAAGGGACTGAATTTTTGTTTGACTTCGTTGTATTTAAACTTAATTATCTGTTCAAGTGTGGCTAGGAGCTGGAAAGCACGGGCTTAGCCCCATCTTGGTCAAGCTCAGGCCGTGGGGTTGGGGTTCTTGGGGGAATGCACGGGGCTCTGCCTCCCCTCCAGAGAGAGTTTGCTCAGTCAGCCGCTTACCAGTGAGGGTTAGTAAGTAAGCCATGTTGGCCACTCTCTGTCTGCGCCTGTCTTGTGTGGCCTGCCCAAGTGGTGGGTCACCTGTGTATTTGGCAGGAGGTGGTGGCCAAGTATCTAGTGAGAGGAAGGCTGCCTGGGTCGGAGGGGTGGGGGCTCAGGCAGGCCCTTGGCCCCCCGGCTTTGCTGCCCCAGCGGCCACCTGCTCTGCTGCTCCATCTAGAAATACAGGACCAAGGAAGTAGTACTCCAAGGTGACTGTGTCTTGGGCATTTATCAATCTTTTTGATGCCCGGAGTCCCAGTGACCCAGAAGTCTGAACTGCTCTGTGGGATGGATGCTTATGTTTGGGGTCTTCTCGGGAGTTCTCTTCTCGATACCATGGATCTTGTGTCCAGGAAGGGCGTTCATTGATTGACATCCTAAATAAATAAATGAGTCCCTGAGTTTGAGAGCTCCTCCTCTCCGCGTGGAGTAAGGAACAGATTAAACATTCATCTTTGCTTTGCTGCTAACCGCCCAAACCTCACGGAGCTGTTCAGGTCTCAGGGGAAGCTCTAACTGCTGGGGCAGCTCCATGGAAACCGGGTTGTTTTCCGCTGAGGGTCTGTGGCTGCTGCAGCCCCCCCGACCCCCCGGCCTGTTCCTGCATTTGTGACGTCATGGTCAGCCGCCCCGTGCTACTCAGGTCGCAGGGGCAGACTGTGTGGCTTGGGGAAATGCAGTGACAGGAACGTGAGCCCTGGTTTTTAAAAAGTGATGTATTGATGCAACGAGCCACAGCAATTAAGACCAAAGGAAAAAAGAGCTGTAGCCACTAAGCACGGTGCACGAGGAATGCAGCCTGGAGGGGGTTTCTCTTAACCCTCAGGAGGAGGCCCAGCGGGGACGCCCTCTCTGCAGCCACCCCTGCTGCTCACCGCAGACTGATCTGGACACGGTGGGTTCAGGCCCCCTGGGGTTATAAAAGGACTGGTGTCCGGCCCTTCCCCAGAGAGGCCCCCGCTCTGCTTGCCCGGCTCTGATAGTCCCCTCGCCGGGCCCAGGAGCCCCTCGACAAGGTGGGTGCGGCTGGCAGGTCCCTAAATCCCAGGGTCATCGGGCCAATCTAAGCACGAACCGTAGCTCTGGGAGAGTTTGTAGACAAGCTGGAGACGGTGTCTGGGGGCTGGCAGGTCCGAGCGCCAGCAGCCCTCCCCTCTCCCATCTCCGCCGCCTTGAGCTTAGTGCCGCCGGCCCAGGGAAGATGTGGCCGCACGTGGGTGCAGGTAGCTCCGAGTCGCTTGTTGTGAGGAGAGTGGTGAGGTCCACTGTGCATTTAAGCAAAGTGCAGAGAGGAAAGCGGCATCCTCCGCTGGGTGCTGTGTTTGTGTCTGGGAGCCATCTTGTTGACAAGACAACCCTGTGAGTCTTTTCCAGCATGTGTGATGCTCCAGCACACCGTCTCCTTGACTTCACTGTGTGGAAGTGCCGACCAGCCCTCCAGCCAGTGTGGGGTATGGCCAGAGGCTTGAGGAAAAACAAGCGCCAGGCTGGCCGGCCGTGTAGGGCAGGCGCCTGTTCAGCCTCGGGCGGGGCCCCACCGAGCCTCTCACCGCTCTTCTGCTCTTCGAAGCAAGGCCTGGGTCAGGGCAGCCAAGAAGGGCTCCCTGGGCCCTTGCGGGTGGCTAAGCTCTCTGGCCACGATTCTCGCCCTGCCCGGAGCGTGCATTGCAGTTCCTGATGGCCTGCGGACGTGACGAGGACGGATGGGAGCCCTGGTCTGCAGTCTTCAGCTGGAGGCCTTGTCCAAGGTGGACGTGGTCTCTGGCAGATTTGTTTAGGAGACTCCCCTTTCCAGAAGTGCCTGACGTTAGCTCCAGTTGCCTTCAGTGCACACTTACGTTGTCTTATTTCTTTTCTGCTTTTTAACTTGGAGCGTGTCTCCTAACTTCAGACGTGTTTCACTAATGGTCTGTCACAGCGGGCCGCTCCTCCATGGCTAGGAGGGGAACTGAGCCGCCGCTGCCTTTCCCATGGCACCTTTCCCAGCTAATACGGTCCCCCCTTCTCATTTCTGTGAACCCCTGTGGCATAAAGGTGGCCGCGCCCCACAGGGGCGCTGCGGCTTCTCTGGCCCAGACTAGAGACTGCCAGCAAGCCGTGCCGCCAAAGCCCAGGTAAGGAGCGGGCGCTTCCTGTGCTCCGGTCGCCTGTCCCCTGCTGTTCATAAGCTCTCCGGCAGATTGGAGCAGCAGGGGCCTTGGTCACGCCGTGTACTTGTGGGTTTTAAATTAACACATTTCATTTACTGCCATGCTGTTTGCTTGCGGGGGGAGGGCTCGGGGGTTAGCCGGCCTTGCTGGGCTCCTGTGCCTGGAGGCCGGCCCCGGGGGCAGGGGAGGCCGCCTTCCCACTGCTGGGTATTCAGGGGCTCCAGAGGGAGGCCGTGATGGGACAGGCCCAGCCCAGTTATGAAAGGGTCTTTTTCCATTTGTTTAAGATACAAAGGACCTCAGAAGTTTCCGTTTGTGTGTTCCCTTGCTTATTCCTCTATCCTGTGAAATCTGCGGATACACAGGCTGCTAATCCGGACCTCAGTTTAAACCGGAGTTAAATCGTACATTTAACAAGGCTAAGTACCATGGCTGCTTCCCGCCACGGTGCCCGGGAGCTCTCTGAGAATGTGTGATCAATATTTATTAACATTCTGCCACCGCATCTTGCACCAGTGACCTGGCTTTCGGTCTCCGGGAGCTGCGGTGTGCAGAGTGAATTCATTAATTAGATTGCCTCGCCCTGCTCCACACACCACCCTTGTGCCACGGAGCTCAGCACACCTGGAGGCGGACGCGTGTCCTTGCTGTCAGCGAGGATGCTGTCATCACGTTAAAAGTTGGAATGAATCATTTTCCTTCAAAGATTAGTAACCCCCTCGTGGGATTTCATTTTCCCCTGAAGCATTTAGTGTGGATTATGTGGCTCGTGTCGGGAACTTCTCCTGTGTCTCCATGGGTCGTCCGGCAAAGGTGGCAGCCGGGCTCTGGACGGAGGAGAGAGGTGCCCCCAGGTGTGTGGTGTTGCCATGAGGAAGCTTTGACTCGGGCCTGCTGGAATGATGGGCTTAGCCAAGAATCAGGGATTTTAAAAATAACATTTATTGGAGATGGTTTCTGACTGTTAGTATAATTGTGGAAATACATTAAAAATTAATAATGATAAAGTCACCTATAGTCTTGCTAGCCAAAGAGAACCACTGGGTAAGTTTCCTTTGTCTTGTTTTTCGTGCACATAACACAAATTTGGTAAAATTAGGACTGTACTTCTATGTTTACGTAAACTGGTTTTCAAGCCATTCTGTGTCCTGAGTGTTTCCCCGTACCATTAACTGTTGTGAAGCATTAAAATGTTAAGGGACTGACAGTCCCATCGTGTTGCAGTGCCACAGTTCCTTGGGGGGCGTCTCTGATGTTTCAGAAATCACAGCGTGGGGGCCTCTTACCTCCCGGACACTGTCAGTCCTGGCTAGTGTGGCCCCCTCACCCCGGGCCGTACCACCGCCGGCTCGGTCTGACTGTGCCTTTCTGTCTTGTAGATTGTTTGCTCCATGAGGAGAACTTCTCGGTGAGGTGCCCCAAGCACAAGGTGAGTCAGTGCATGTGGCCCCCGCAGGCCTGGGGCGGGGGTGTTCCTCACGGTCTACAGACCATACACAGGAGGCCACCGCCTGCCCTTGGCCCTGAGAGAGTGGAGAGGCCCGGTGCTGGAGGGAGCCCTGCACCCCACGGTGGCCCCCACGTGCTGTGGTGGGAGGCTGGGAGAACCGTGGGGGAGCGGAAGGTATTTGTGGATTGTTAAGAGAAATTCAAAGAGCAAACTCAATACATGCTGATTTCCATTTTAGTTTAGTGGACCCCCAGTTCCCAGGTTGGCACGAGGTAAGCCTGTAGGCCTTGATACATAATCAGAGGCATTTTCCCCGACTGAAAGAAATAAGAATTGACCCCACGGTTCTGGGGGGGAAACTCGGTCTTTTCTAGGCTTGACCTCAGCAGAAGTGACCGGTGGTGCAGCTGGTGGGGGCTGCCGCCTGATTTCCCCAGTAATTCAAGAGGTGGTCTGTTGGTGTGACCCTTTTTATGAAAGGATGGAAGATAAGTGGCGCCTGGGCTGTCTCCGACCTAGCAGGTGGGGCAGGGAGGGTCTGAGAAGGAAGCCCCGCCAGGGGTGGGGGCCGCCCAGCTGGTCTGGCGCCACCTGGCGTTTACTGTGGCGGTTGCGCTCGTCTGGCTGAGGTCACACTGACACCTGGTGGTCACGGGTCGCTCGCAGGCTCCCGGCTCTGACTGGGGCCAAACATGAAGCTGAAAAGCAGTCCTCCTGACGGGTCTGCCCCCAAAACGCGTCGGAAAGATGCTCGCTTATGCTTTTCTTTAAAAATTATTTTCAGAGATGGACCACAGGATCTTCTAGTATTCTCTTTCAATTTACATGTTTTTAGTTTTAAAACTTCTCTTTTTTAATGGTCACATTTTGCCTTGGAAAACCCTGTCTGAATATCTCCTGTTTGTCGTTCAATACTGACTCTCTGCTTTTTCTTTCCTTTTCTGTGTGCCATTCCTCTCCTCGCCTCTGCCCTCCCTGACCCCCGCACTGTTCTTCTTTCCCTCCTGTCTTGTCTCCTTGGCTTTGCCGGCGGCAGCCTCCCCTCCCGTTCCCCCTCCCCCCCTTGCAGAACAAGACAGCGAAAGGCAGCCTCAGCACAGAGCAGTCGGAGCGGGGGTGAGGGGGGCAGTGTGCTCGTGGGAATGGAAAGTACAGCAAGCACAGGTGAGTCGGGGCCGCACCCCTGCCAGAGTCCCAGTGGGTGTCTTGGCCTCTGCCCTCGTGCTCGCCCCAGGCCAGGCTGCGCCACCCGCCTTTAAGCGCGTGAATGCGGGAACCAGGCGGATTAAGTGTTTCTCCGACTGTCATTTAGCTCCCTGGAATGTCCGTGGAGACATGTTTGAGGCTTTAAAACTGTCCCGTTGCCCGTCAGAGTTCACGGTGACTGAGCGGAGGTCAGGCTTGTGTGTGGCGCTCTCGAAGTCTCTGGGACAGAGCCCGCCAGCAGCCCACCCTCTGTCCCCGGCTCAGAAATGCTTCTAGCCAGTGGGCTGTCCTTTCCAATTTACTCCCTATCTGTAAAGCTTGTGGTGGCTTTTCCTTTGAAAAGCAAAATATTCCTCAGTTTTGTTCTTTGAAATCTTTTCCCCCAAGTACTATGAAGGCCTCCTTTGCACAGAAGTACAAAGGGAAGGGAAATCCCCTCAAAGATTTAGGGGACTTTAGCATCCGATTTAATTTTACTCTTAAAAACCCTCAAGAGATTGAGCTGTGCTTTTTGTGAGTGTGTCTGGGCTTTTGGTCAGGGCGGCGGCAGCGCGCGTCTGTGGAAGCGGGATTAGTGGACTGACGTCCCCAGAGGCAGCGCGCCTCCCCGGCTCCGGGCTTGCTCGCCACCTGCCCCCCGCAACAGAGTCATGAGGGTGAAGAAAATAGACCATAAAGAGAAGGAAAAAAAAGAGAGAGAGAAGGAAAAGAAAAGCCAAGATGTAACTTGAAGCACTTGGTCCTCGGGGATGGGGAGGGGGGACCAGTTGTCTCAGAAACGTTCATTAAGGGATTATTTCTCTTCAAATGAAGGGCTTCTGTGTTTACTCCAGGCGCCCGAGAGCCACACGCAGATGTGCTAGAGTCCACGGCACGTTCCCTGCCCGTGACAACCAGCAGGTTCCACCTTGCTCCGCAATACCTACCAGTCACTTGAGGAGAAAATAATTCCTCTCAGACGGTGGCACTTTTTCTCCTTTGAGAAGTCCTCGGTTTCTTCGGAGGGTCCCAGTGCCGAATTCCAGAGAAGCCCCCTGTGCTCTGCTGTGTGAGGCCGAGGGGCTGTAGAGAGGCCTGTCCGGCTTTCTCAAGGGGGGCTGTCGAGTAAGGCCTCTGCGGTCGTGCCTTTTCTCTCTTCCTCTTCCAAGACAGGGGTTGGGAGTGGAAGGGCAGGTGGTCGGGTCCCAGGAGTCAAATGAGCGAACTTGCAGCAGCAGCGGCCACTGGATTTCCGGAACACACTGGGGCCCGCCGGCTCCTGCATGCCTTTCCCCCGAGCAGCCCTCAGCACACGACAGCAGTCTGGACGGTTCTCCAGCATGTTTCTCTTGGCCTTTGTTCCATGCCGGGGCTCTGCCTTCTTCCCGTCAATTCCTCTGGCTGATGGGTAGAGCCGTGTGCTGTGGGGGCCTCAAGGAACATTCCTGACAGTGTCCTGGCTTCCCACTAAGGGAAAGAACCATTTGTTGTCACGTGCCGTTGTTTTCGTCCTGGCATTCCAGCCCGTGTTTGGCGGGGGGAGACTGAGCCATGGGCGTGGTGGGCAGATCTCCGGCTAGGAATTTTAATTTCATTCATCCTCTCCTTCCTCTCCACCCAGCCTTGGGCGCTGCCAGCTGCCAGCCCTCAGCCCCCAAGCGGAGCAGTGAGCTTCGTCGTTCAGATCTCAGTCACTGTGGGCAGGAGTCCCCGCGCGGACAGGAGACCCTGCCTCGCCGAGCGGTCACGCGGCCGACCCATCGGTGTGGGGTGGTTTCTCATCTGTTGAGGTCCAACTGTCCACCTCGTGGAGGGAAAGGGTGGACATAGGCTGCATCCAGTCGTGTCCACCTGAAAGGATTTTCTCCGTGTGCCATCCCCAGGGCGGGACCCTTGTCCTGTTTCTCAGTTCAGCTGTCCATTGTGAGTGGTGGCCCTTGGCAGACTGTACGGGAGCCCCAGGGATTAGGACAGAGAACATTTCATTTTGGGGTCTGTTCTAGGGACAGAGAGCTACTGTCATTGGGTGCCCTGACATGGCAGGGAGGGGACATGAGTACCTGGGTCCTGCTTCTTGGGGCCCTGTTTTCTCATACAGTAAGAGCTGTGTGACTGGGGGCACTTCCTGTTTCTACTTATTTTTCTTCGGTAAAGAGAGGAACAGCGGTGGCCAGCCTAGTGAGGATTCAGTTAAGAAACGTCTTAGGTGTCCGCGTGGCCTAGTGTGGGGTGCACCTTGTGCAGGTCCTGGGGCGCTGCAGGAGCCGGAGGGGTCAAGGCTGCGGGCTGGACCCTGCTGCCACCCTGTCTGGTGGAAAACTGAGGGCTGGGAGATGGGAGATTGAATCCCCCCCAGCCTCCAGCAGCATATGAGGTCCCTGCACTTGGCCCTCAGCAGACCAGCCGTGCCAGAGAGGAAAAGTCTTTGGGCCGCCATCCATGCAGCAGGCTGCCGCTTGCCCGTTTCTGGGCGTGAGGAAGCCGCAGGAGGCCTGTGGGCGCCCACCTTCTCCCTGTGCTGACTGCTGATGCCTCCGCCAGGGCCTGTGGGCGTGTCTGGCGAGCTGCTCAGAGGTGGGACTTCTCCCTGTGGGTTCTGGCACATGCCATTCCCTGGGCCTGGGTCCCCTGCCTCCCATCTTCTGTGACAGGCTCCCTCTCCTCTCTGGGTCTCAGCTGCAGAGGCCTTCCCTTCTGGGTCCCTGTCGGGCTCCTTTGCACGCCGCAGCTCTCCTGTGCCAATTTGAAATCGTTCATCCGTTTGCTTATGTGCGTCTCCACTAGCCTGTGCACGCAGTGAAGACAGGAACCGTGTCTGGCTCCGGCTTCTCTGCTCTAACCTGGAGCGCACACGTGGTGGGGCAGGCCAAGTGCGCCGGAGAGGGCATGCCCCGCAGAGCAGCATGTGCTCGTCACCCTGTCTGTGCCTGGATAGGTACGGACGACGGCCCCGCCGCACAGCCCAGCCCCATCCCTGCAGGAGGGAACCGGCCGGGCGGGGAGGACGTGGTGGATTCTTGCTGCGCTGGGAGGAGGCTGGAGGAGGCCCCGCCAGGTTCAGGCCGTGGAGGGGCCGCTGAAAGCCAAGGACGGCGGGAGCGTGACAAAGGTGAGCGAGCCCTGGAAGGCTGTGGCCCCAGGTGAAAGTCTGCTCACCGGCAGCTGGACCTCAGATGCCTTTTAAAGAGAGTGTGGAAAAGCCGCCGCCACGGAGCGGCTGCCCGCTCGCGGCGCTCTCGCCGGCTGCAGCTGGCCCGCGCCCGTCGGCCGAGTCCCACGCAGTCGAGCAGGACCGCACGTGACTGCGGCTCGAAGGCAGAGTCCTGGGGGCCCGGGCAGAGGGCTTGCTGGGTGGGAGCCCCAGTCCCACCGCTCAGCAGCCCCGGGGCTTTGGGTCCCTCAGCTTCAGCTTTGTCCTCTCTGAGACCAGGGGCAGGGGAGGGCAGTGTCAGGCCTCGGTGTCATCATGAGAGAACTTCTTTGAAACTCCTAGCATAGAGCCTGGCACACGGATTTCCTTCCTAAGCTCCCTGCTGAAGGAACAGTGTTTGAGAAGTAACTCTGAGAAGTTAGGGTCCGCTGACCTTGAAGGTGTATGACGTCAGACCCTGGGGAAAGGTCCCCTTAGGAAGGCTGGAAGACAGAGCCACAGCGGGGGGCGGCTGTCAAGACCGAAGCTGCCCAGGCTACCGGGCGCCCCATGGCCCGAGGTTGGCAGCCCACAGAGCGCCCCCAGCCGGGCAGGCCCGGGGTGCCAAGTGTGCTCCGTTCCCAGGTTGGGGCCAGGTTGGGCCTGCTCTCCTGAGTGGTTAGCGGGCCAGGGGTACAGGCCCAACACTGGCAAGCCTGGGGGAGGGCAAACCCTGCCCTGTTGCCCACTCCACAAGCAGAGCCTTCCAAGGTGCGCCTGGACATCTGTCCTCTGTTCACATGGTCCCACATCCCCAGCAAGATGTTGCCCCCGGGTTGTTGCTTGAGGCTTCCTGTTGGCTCCGCCCTCATTCTCGCATCTCTGGAGGGCTTTTGGTTGCTGGGGTAACATGGGGAGGCCGCTTCTGTCCCCTCTCCTGGCAAGCAGCCTTAACCCTAGGACAACCAGAGAGCAGGACGGGCAAGCCTCCCTGGGCTGGAGGCAGACCGGAGCGTGGGCCCGCAGGGCTGGGGCAACTTTCAGGGTCCAGAGCCACCTTCGGAACAGGGAAGCCAGGCTGTCACCATGGACATCCTGAGCATGGGGACAGTGTCCTGCTGTCTCTGCAGGTCTCCCCATGTGGTTGTGTTTTCCCCTGAGCAGTTAATGCGCCTCTTTGGTCCGGGCAGGTATACCTATGTGGGTGCTTTCAAATAGAAGGTTCGTAGCCCCTGCACACAGACCAGCCTTCTGAACAATTTTGCCCGTTAATAAGTTGTGTGAACCCAGGAAAGGGATGGTGCCGCCTGGGTTTTCCCCAAGGATTATTCCCGAGGGCACCAGAGGGGTCTGAGGAAGGAGGGAGCGCTCTGACTGGCAGGGAGCAGGTCTGGGGAGGCCGCCGCCCCTGCTTCTGCTCTGATTGTTCTGCCCCGATCCTTGCCAACCTCCGTGTCCCTCGGAGACCCCTGCATGCGTAGTGAGCCATGACGGACTCCGAGGAGGCCCGTGGTCCAACCCCACTGCCCCACTGGGTCATCGGGATCGCCTGAGCGCGGAGCCTGGGCTGGAAGAGGAGCGAGTGCAGGGGACGCCTGGGGAGCCCCGGAGGAGGGCCCTGCCATCCAGTCGGAGCCGGCTGGAGAGTGTTCTTTGTGGAGTGTGAAGGATGCACTCTTGTCACCGCAAGCAGCTGTGGCGGGTCCTGAGCTGGTTTTCCCACAGGCCACCTGCGTGAGGACCTCTGTGAGGACCGCTCCGGGCCACCAAAGTGCCGAGCCCCACGGGAGGCCCCCGGTGGGTCACCCCGAGAGCTGGAAGGTCAGGGAGCTCCTTCGTAGTCTCTGTTCCTGCCACGCACTGGGGAGACCGCCATGCCGCGAGGGGCCCGGGGTCCGTTCGCAGCACCGCGGGCCACGTCACTGCCGCCCTTCACCGTGCGCCAGGGCCACGTGGTCTGGGCCACACAGTGGCTCCGCCACTGGTCCCGGGGGTCTGCAGCTGCTGGACCCCCAGAGGAGGGGCTGTCGGCCACGGGGCCGCACAGGATTCCCAGCACCCAGTGTTGGTTCTGTCTTGCAGGTGAGACTGTGGAGATGAGAGGTGGTGGACACTCGTGATGGAAGGAACCGTCCTGCTGTGCGGCCCTGCCCTGCCCCGCCCGCCCCGCCAGCACCTCCTCCCCAAGTCCTTACATCACACCCAAACCGTGACACCACAGGAAAGAAAGACCCAAGAAGTTGGAATGGCTGTTTCCATGGACACAATCTCCATAGTGACAATGTGGGGGGTGGGGGGAGGGGTGGGATGATGGGAAGGGGGGTGCAAAGGGTGGGATAAAAATATATATATATAAATCTATTTTTAGTCTGGAAAGACTTTGTTTAAATGAAAGGTGCGCTATCCCTTTTGATTCTATTTTAAAAATTCTCTAAAGAACTCCAAATTTGTTCCAATAACAGTGAAATTTAAGTGTGAAATTGAACAAGCTGGTCTCATAAGAGGCGGGGCGTGGCTTTGATCTTTAGCCCGTCTCACACCGGTTCAGAGAGCTGCAGACCCAGGGCTGGAAGAGCAGACAAACCACACCAGAACCATCCTTTGTCATTAAGTTGTCTCAAAAGTGGGAAGGTTTGGGGCGGGGGGAGGGGGGATATGGGGGCGGTCCGTGTTTTCAAGAGTGGGGGAATGATGTTTAAACACAAAAATAAATTTTTTTCATTTCCAGAAACACTATTTATTTATTATTTTTAAAATTTTTATCTTTTTGAGGGGTGAAATTGGCAGATGTCCCGAGGTCACAGCTGTGTCCTGGATCACTGTGGCCAGTGAGAACCTCAAGCGCCCCACTAAGTGCGCATGGCAGGCAGGGTCGGGGGTGGCCCGCCACCAGGCGCGTTCCTGGCAGCTGTGCCCTGCCCACCCCCACCCCCCACCCCAGGACGGAAGGACAGGACAGGAAATCTTGAGCTGTAGGAGTTGACACAGGGGAGGGACTGTGTCTGTCCAGTGTGATCAGTGTGGGTTACGCTGACCAGGAAACACCCAGTTAACCCTTTTTTCTTTTGCTTTCATTTTTATAAAGGAAAAGAGGGCCTGTCAGGTGAGCAGCCCCATGCTACATGGTTCTTTATGTTGTATTGTTTTGTTTTGTTTTGTAAATTGTATAATTTTTAAATATCTGAGTTTTAAAAAAAGAAGAAAAAAGTACAAAAAAAAATCTTGTTAAGGCCTTAAGAAGGGGTTAGTGCATCTTTCAGGGGTCACTCTGCCGTGGGGATAAAATAGCTGTTTCACAAACAGTTTTATTTAAAAAACAAAAAAATCAAAAAATAATAAACTTCATTTTAACCTTGTTTCCTTTTTTGTTTACTGTAAAGCAAACGCGCCTCTTCCTCCTCCCGCTCCAGCCCCCCAAGGTGGCTTCGCTCCACCGCAGAGAAGGCCGCCCTGCGACTGTCCAGCGGAGCCCCAGCCTCCCGCCCCACCCCCCCCAGCAGGGCCTGGAACCAGTCAAAACCCTGGGGCTCCTCCCTGCAGCTCCACCCGGGGGGGTGGAACTCAGCCAGTGTGTGGGGACGGTCAGATTTACTTAAGTTGGTATGAGGACATATTTCCAATCAACATTAATTTTAAAGGTTATAAAAAAATAATGCGATGTTAATGGACTTTTTTCGAGAACAGAAATACTGGAAGGAATGTTGTGAAGTAGAAATAAGCAATTATAAATGAGTTCCTGTGTGCTCATCAATTTGGGGCTGCAGAAATGGCAGATTAATTCTGTTTTAATGGCTCCATCAAGCAGTGCGGCCCATTTCTCATCTCGCTCACCAGGATGGAGGTGTGGGCGGGTGTGCTGCGCGGGCCCTAGGACCTGCGTAGAAGTAGCTGGGTGGCCTTCCGTCCAGTCTTGACCGGGCATTAACCCAGTTCAAATGAAGTTGATAGATTTCAGGTGTCAGGGGCTAAACCACAAAACTTGAAAAATACGTATCTTGAGGAAAATATTTTCCCAACAGCAAATGATTCTTTGTCATTTTGCTTTTCTTCTGTCGTCTTTTGACTTGCTGATGATCCTTGAGCAAGGAACTTGTGATGATTCTAGGTCTTTCCCCAAACTGGCTGGTGACACGGCCGTTGATGGGCATGGCCGTGCTCCACGCGCCCCTCCTGGCTCCAGCTTTCCCCCTTCTGCAGGAAGCCTCGACTCGTGTGCATTTCAGCTTCCGCTGCTTTTAAGTTCTATGGATTTTTTTTTCCATAGACTTTTTTAGAGCAAGTTCAAGTTCATAGCAGTATGGAGCAGAAGTCACAGAATGTTCCCATGTACCCCCTGCACCCCAGACACGGCCTTCCCCAGCAGACCGCTACATTTGTGGCAGCCACTGGTCCTCCTGCGCCAACATATCCTCGTCCCCCAAAGCCCACAGTTAACATTAGGGTTCCTTCTTGGTGTTGCACATTCTGTGGGTTCAAACAGTCTGGTGACGTGTATCCACCGTTCAGTGTCGCCCAGAGGAGTCTCACTGCCCTAGAAGTCCTCTGTGTTCTGCCTGTCCTCCCGCCCTCCTCCCAGCCCCTGCGCTTTTTACTGTCTCTGTAGTTTTGCCTTTTCCAGAATGTGCTGTGGTTGGAATCCTACCGTATGCAGCCTTGTCACACTGGCTTCCTTTGCTCAGTGATAATGCATTTAAGGTTTCTCCACGTCTGTTCGGGGCTTGGTAGCTCATTTCTTTGTAGTACTGAAGAGTGTTCCATTGTCCGGATGTGCTACTGCTTACCCACCTACCGAAAGACATCTTGGTTGCTTCCGAGTTTGGGCAATGACGAATAAAGCTGCTATAAAGACCCGTGTGCAGGTTTCTGTGTAGACATCGGTTCACAGCTCTGGGGGGTCAGTACCAAGGAGCTTGCTGGATCTCGCGGTAAGAAGCTCTTGTTGTGCAAAGGGCCGCGGAACTGGCTTGCGCATCGGCTGTCCCTTGTTGTGTCCCCACCAGGCAGTGTGTGAAAGGTGCTCGCTCCACAGCCTTGCCAGGCTCTGGCGGTGCCAGTGTCCTGGATTTTGACTGTTCTAATAGGTATGCAATGGTGCTTTTCATATATAACTTTTTAAGTTGTGGTTAAAAACATAACACTTACTGTCTTAACCAGCGCGCAGTTTATTAGTGTTAATTATATTCACATGGTCGTGCATGGGATCTCTAGAACCTTTCATGCGCCCAGCAGAAGCCCTGTACCCTTAAAACACGCCGGGGGGCGGGCCCTGCGCCGCCACCACCCCTGGCAAGCTGGAGGCCGGTTGCTTTTCCTTTCTGCCCCCAGGAAGGAGCGGGAATTGGGGGGCTTACTCTGGGCGCTGCTGTGCCTCGGGGAGGAGGCGGGGGCAAGGCGAGCAGCAGGCCGCGCATGTGCCCAGCGCCCCCTGCTGGGTGCCCGGCTCCTACCTACTCTCTAGAGCCCTGGTGCCACATGGGGGGGGCCCTGGGCGAGAGCTTCCCAGCCCACCGTGTTGCTGGTGTCCCTCCCCAGCAGAGGACTCACCCCTGTGCAGGTGAACACACCCATGACTGTGACCAGGGGTGGCCCCCAGGAGTCCTTCCCTCCGCTTCACCAGAGCAGTTTCACCACCCGCGGAGGTGGGCCCGGTGTGTTTCTAAAGCTCAGTAATGTGCTGGCCTCTGAAGACGTTCACGTCCAAACTGTATACATAACTCGGAGCGTGCGTTTGGTGTGACCGCTAATACCGCTCTAGGATTCTGACCTCCTGACATGACCTGAGATTCTGTCTCCTCGGTGCTTGGGGATCACGAAGCTGAATTGCCCAGTGATGGCAAAAGGCCACAGGCCTCGAGATGGCAGGTTCCCTCATGGCCTCCCCGTCCTGGACAGCAGGCCCCCAGGACGGGGAGGCCACCGCCCTTCATGACGTATTCGGGTGACCGCTTGGGGAAGGCCGCCAAGAGGATGGGCAGATACAGGCGGTGTATCCAGGGCCGGCAGGCGACGACGCCCTTGGCCGTCCTGCCCACTGTGCTGCTCTCTGGGACGGTCAGCTGAGACAGATGAGAGGCCCCAGTGTACCCTTGGGTCTCGCCCTCCTGGTCTGTTGAGTGGCCTCCAAAGTGGGCTCTCTGCCTCCCGGAAGCCCAGAGACCCCGGTTTCCCAGTCAAGTCCTCAGCCTGGCTTGCAAAGGCCCCATCACGCTGCCCCACACCCACCGCACACAGGGCCTTGTGGGGCTTTGGTCCCGCTGCCAGGTCACCTTGGCTTGTGGTTCAAGCCAGCCAAAATCTCCATGAAGTGTTGCCAGCACGTCCTGTTCCAGCCCAGGGGCAGTGTCCCCATGACCCTGCAAGCGGTCCCCATACTGCCGCTCTCTGACTCGCCACACCTCCTCTGGGCCCTGGATGCTGGAGCAGTCTCACCGTGGTCTCCTCCTGCGTTGCCATACTTAGCCCAACACCCGGCACAGGGCACCTCTGGCGGGGGGGGGAGGGTCGGGGGGGTGACGGAATTCAAGCCCACCCAGTGCTTGGCCAAGGCAAGGTGCGGGGAAGGCCCGGCTGGGCCCCAGCACGCTAGGCCTTGTGGCCCTGGGTCTGGCGGGAGAGTAGGGATGTGGCATTCGGGAAGGGAGCAGCACTCACAAATCAAGCAGGACTTGCAGACTTTGGAAAGCCATTGCCAAGAGGCCACATACCCCTGGGCTGCCATGCCTGAGCGGCATCTCGGAGTCAGGAGTATTAGGAGGCACCCCAGGAAGATCCTGGTCCTCCTACCGCTGGGGAGGGAGAGAGAACAGGGTGGGGGATATGGGAGGGCGGTGGGGAATGCCTCCTCCTCCAGGCCCTGCGTCAGCCTGGGAGAGAGTAATCCAACTGTTTCCAGAACGGGAGTGCCTCATACACCCCTGGGATGGGGCAGGGGGCCCGACGCCTACCCAGGAAATGCTCTTCCCCACCCTCTGGGTTCTTGGACCTTCTCATTTGAATGGGTTTTGGCCTCAGTTCCCTTCAGCCTCGATTTAACAACTCAGCCTCAAATCAGCCCTCTCATTGTTGAAGAAGGAGCCTGAGGTCTGGAACCATGTGGTCAATCCCCCAGAGGAGGGGCAGAGAGTTTGGGCAAGAAGAAGGATATGGTAGGCACGACTCCAGCTTGGAGGCGGCAGACACCCATGCGGGTGGTACAGAGGTTCGCATCTTTTCCAGAGTCCAACCCCACAGTCGGGTTGGAAGGGACGGGGCTGGAGCCAGGGGGACGGGGCCTG